TTTTAAGAGGGGGGGAGTGTTGGGGATTTGATTGGATTGTGTATTTTTAACATTGTTAGCCAACCCGATTGTTCTCAGAGGGGCGGGATATTAATAATAATAATAATAATAATAATAATAATAACAACTACTACTACTACTAGGCATGTGTAGGTCGTCCAGCATTACTGACAGATGTTGATCATAAAGTTGCACTGGAGGACCTAGAGATTCCTAGAGAGGTATTCTCTCAGGTCAAAAGAATAGTGTTTTGGTTTTTTTTAATTTGTGGTTTTTCCACATTCATGGGGGTTCTTCACCCCTAACCCTAGCGAATGTGGAGAGACCACATTTAAATTATATTGTATATTGAAAGTCTACAAGGCATTATAACAAAGATGTTTATCTTTTATCACAAAAATATAGTTGAGTACAGAATAATATACAGTATATGTAATTTGTAATAGAGAGAGCCAATGTGACATAGTGGTTTGAGTGCTGGACTATGACTCTGGAGATCAGGGTTCGATTCCTCACTCAGCCATGAAACCCACTGGGTGACCTTGGGAAAGTCACACTCTCTCAGCCTCAGGAAAGCAATGGCAAATCTGCCCTGAATAAATCTAGCCAACAAAACCCCATGGCCAGCAACACTTATGTAATATAGCTGCAAATAAACCATATGAAATTATATTTAAGTAGTGTTTTAGCTCTTATTTGATAATCTCCTATATTTTTCTTGAAGACCTTACATTTCACAGTGCCTTGTCCTCCTCTGAGGTTATGACATCTGGACACTTTGTCTGCAAGAGCCTGGCTGTCATCATTGCTTCTGCTGAGGTCCGAATGGGGCTCTCCACCATGGGATCAATAAGGAGAGGGTTGCTTTGCACCTTATCGATTGCACAGGTGCCCCATTCTGGCCTTATCAGCAGAAGCGGAAGCACTGGCCAGGCTCTGGCAATCAGGCTGCAACAGTGATGGTGGCACCAAGGGGGACAGGCCAACAGGGATGAGGCGGTGTCACCTGGAAGCCCATCTGGACATGTTTGGCTCTCATTGTGCCAACCCAGGAGGAGCAGCTTGGAGAGCTGGTTGTGTTTGGCCTGGAGAAGAGATGGTTAAGAGGCGATACGATAGCCCTGTTTAAAGACCTGAAGGGATGTCATACTGAGGAGGGAGCAAGCTTGTTTTCTGCTGCTCCCGAGAATAGGAACCGGAGCAATGGATTCAAACTAGAGAGGAAGAGATTCCACCTAAACATTAGGAAGAACCTCCTGACAGTTAAGAGCTGTTGGACAGTGGAAGCTGCTGCTGCCTTGGAGTGTAGTGGACTTTCCTTCTTTGGAGGCTCTTTTTTGTGTCTTCCAGCATGACAGAAGGAGGTTGGACTGGGTGTCCCTTGGGGTCTCTTCCAACCCCCTTTTTCTGAGTATGTTTTTGGGGCAGATTGGGTGTGGGGGTGCACATGGAGAGATGGGGATGGTCCAGTCTCTTTGGCAAAAGTAATCCAAAGATTTTACATTGTAAAGCAATTCTGTTATTCTTGTGATAAACGTTTGTTTCTGTGTCCCTCTGGAAGACCGTGCCAATCTCAAGCATTATTACAAAACAGGTAGGGCGGGGGAACATTGGAGGTAATAATGTTGGCATTTTGTAAAAATGTCTCTCACTGCTTCAGGGGGGGAGAGAGAGAGAGAGAGAGAGAACTATTTTTTAATATCTCTGTTTCAAACCTTTTTATTTGTTATGGTGCTAATTGATTCTCAGAGGATCCAGAGGCTGGAAGCCATAGGTTTTGCTGATGTTATTGAAGCAGCCGGCCTGACTTCACTGCCTGTCCCTCAGCCAGCCTCTCATCTACTCCGTTCCCATTAGCTGTCATTGATGCCACTAAGGCCCCGTCTGCACAGACCAAATAAAATGCCCTCCCCACATTCCCATAATGATACGTCTGCACAACACAGGGCCCAATCCCCAGTTCTGGTGCAAAGTGCCTGGATGATATCCAGCAAACCCAGCATTTATTGTTGTTGTTAACTGCCCTTGAGTCTACCCCAACCCATGGTGACGCTGTGAATGAGATAGCTCCAAGCCCCCCTATCCTCTACTGCTCTGCTTAGGTCTTGCAAATTCATACCCACGACCACCCTAATAGAGTCTGTCTGGTGTGTGGTCATACTCTCTTCTGATGATGTGGCCAAGTATGATAACTTCAGTTTGGTCATCTTGACTTCAAGGGAGATTTCTGACTCGATCTGCTCTAGACCCATTTATTGGTCTTTTTGGCCATCCATGGTATCCTCAGCGTCAAAAGGGTTGATCTTCCTTGTAAGACGAACTTGAACCTGGGGAATTGCTAAAAGTTCAAGTCTCCAATGGGATCTTTTATCCTATGTTTACGGAGGTGGCTAGGGAATAGATTGATAGAAACAAAGCTTTCTCAATGAGTTTTGTGATTTATTTGGGGATTCAACCATATAAAGATACTCTAACATTCCTTCTAACACACAAGAACTCAGGAATAAAGTAGTTAGCTTGGATAGGAAACAGAAGGCTTTCTAATGGTGGTAATTACCTAACGGAGGATGCACCAGTAATGAATAAAGATGGTAGACTCAACTGTGTATGAAGGGAAAATGAAAATGGGAAGAGTTCACAGTGGTGCAATGTCACCATGAAATTTAACCAGACCCAATGTGCCTGAGATTTGGGGGGGTCTTTTATACCCTTAAACCTAGCCTGAAGATTTGCTATTGTATATCAAAGGATTCCAGATTGATACTCTTTGAAATAGACAAGGGGAGATGGGGTGTTGATGTTATCTCATCCTCAGCCGGACACATCCTGGCTGATACTCATAAATCTTCTAGGTGTGAATGTCCTGCTTTGCAGCTCCTAACCCTGGCCTTTTGATCTGCTAATTTGTTGTAGAGGCAGATGTGACCATTCAGGTGCCTATGTGAAGTCCTCGCTTTGGATCCATGGTGGTTTGGGCTGTTCTGGTTTAGGGCCATGGCAGGAGACCAACAAAAGGGAGTTTTATATTAAAGTAATGCTTATAAACATCCGATCCATGTTGTTCGCTGTCCAGATCTCACATCCATACATGGTAATTCAATACAATGGCTAGGATGATCCTCACTTTAGTCATCAGAATTATGTCTTTGCATTTTTTATCTTGTCCAGTTCTTTCATAGCAACCCTCCCCAATCCCAATCTTCTTCTGATTTCTTGACTGCAGTCTCCATTCTGATCACTTGGCAGTAAGCACATGCAATTGCACATTATTTGATACTGTAGCAGAGTTCCTTTCAGAATACTTGCTCAGAATCAACTGAGTTGATTTCCCCCCCCCCCCCTTATCTGCTTTCTTCACTGTCCAGCTCTCACATCTCCACACGGGAAATATAGTGGCTTGGATGATCCTCACTTTAGTGTTCAGTTGTATATTTACTCTTTAGGATCTTGCCTAGTCCTTTTATGGCTGCCCTTCCTATTCTTAGTCTTCATCTCATTTCTTGATTGCTTCCATTCCTATCAATATTTGATCCAAGATACAGGAACTGTTTAACTGTTTCGATTAACCCCCATAAAAACATTTTAAATGAATTTACATTTTTGCTTCAGATCTTCCTGGAAGATCCAGAGCTATCTCTTGTGATACTGGATAGCTTTTTCGGATCCTGCTGCCACCATTGCCATGCGTCATTCATTCTGAGGCCAGAACAATGCACTCAGCCATGTGGATTGAGGCTGGGCACCTTGTTCTGATCTCAGAATAAGTGGTGCATGGCAGCGACAGCAGGGTGGTGGTTGGATGACACAATAGAACACATTTACAAACAGCCAGCTGGCACAATAGTGTGCCCAGGTAATGGGGGGACATTGGGACAGCTCTAGGGCCAGAATACTCCAGGCTGCTCCTAGAGTATTCTGGCCCATGCTGATACCACCTAACTCATGTCCAGAGGAGGTTGACCTAAATGGTGAAGGGTCTGGAAATCACAGCCCTCTGAGGAGGCTCTCTGTGCATTCTGACCGGGTAGTTGTTGGCACGGTCCAGAATTTCAAATAGCATTCTGTGCCCCGGTTGGTTTCTGACGTGTTCTGCAACTCCTTATTTTTCTGGCTGGCCCAGTTTGCAGTCTCTTGTGTTCCTTGATTTGTGTTTGAACACTATGTTTGGTGGTCCCTATGGAGACTTGTCCCACATGGCTGCAGGGGTTTACTGCATACCGTGCAGCTGTGGACAAGTCAACATAGGGACCACCAAATGCAGTGTTCAAACATGAATCAAGGAACACAGGAGACACTGCATACTGAGCCAGCCAGAAAAATCAGCAGTAGCAGAACATATTTGTTAGGATATGGATGGGATATATAGTCAAAGGTGAAATGTAGAGATGTGTGTGTGTCTGTAATTTTCCACTTGAGAACAGTTTTTGGACAAGGCACAAACAACATTTAGAAAAACAGGGTGAATCAATGCCAGGTGGTAACAGAGACATCAACAATGTACTTTCCCAGAGGTAGAACTAATGGACACAGACTTTATTATGAG